GGAACCCATTTATCCTCCCAAAATTTAATTGCGGCCCCATTGAAAACTTGCTAGCGTAAACCTTTGACCAACACTTCACGGCCAGAGAGAAGACTAGACCAAGCCCAAGATACACGGGCCATTTTAACAGCATACAGGAAATCAGAATGGGGATAATAAATACCTTTCATAACTTAGGCACACAGAGAATGGGGAGATCGCAGGAGCTGCCACCCTTGTCTTGCAAGCAAGACTTTGTTGAAAGACTTGAAATCACGAAAGCCTAACCCCCTCTTCCACTTTGGAAGAGTTAATTTGCTCCACCTAGCCTAATGAATGCCCTGGTCCTCCGAATTCCCTTTCCACCAGAAATTACGGATAAGGGAATCTAGTTTGTTGCACACTTTATGAGGAATCAGAAAACAGGCCATCACATATGTGGGAATAGCTTGGGCCACCGATTTGATGAGCGTCTCTTTGCCACCCTGAGATAAAAGATGAGCTTTCTAGCCATTAAGCTTAGACAGCATTCGCTCAATAAGGAAATTGAAGGCTGCAAATTTTGATGTGCCCCAACACGAAGGTAGGCCCAAATACTTTGCACCTATTCGAACCATGGCCACTTGTAATATCATCCCCAACTGGTGTTGAGTAAGCATATCCACATTTGCAAAATATTGAACATTGGATTAGCCAAATTGATCCGTTGGCTCGAAGAATCCCCATAGAGTTTTAAAATACGAAGTACCTCTTTGCATTGGCCCTTTTCGGCTTTGAAGAACAATAAGGCGTCATCCATGAAGAATAAGTACGAAATAACAGGGCAAGTCCTCTGAATTCTCAAATTGACCAGTCGCCCATGTTGGACATTATGCTGTAACAGTCTAGAAAGGACATCAATTATCAGCAATAAGAGGTAAAGAGATAGCGGGTCTCCTTGCCGCAAACCGTGTAAGGGCTTAAAGCTAGCTCGCTGAACACCATTAGCAAACACCGAAAAGGTAATAGTGGAGACGCACTCCATGACCCATTGAACCCATTTGGAACTAAACCCCAATTTTATCATAACGGCACGAAGAAAGTCCCACTAAATTGTGTCATATGCCTCATGGAAATCCAACTTCAAAGCCAAGGATTTGGTCTTACCCCGTTGAAGTTTCAAGGCATGGAAGGCTTCATGGGCCACTATGATATTGTCTTGGATAAGCCGACCGGGGACAAAAGCCAATTGACTCGGAGAAATAAGAGCACCCAGTACCTTTTTTAGTTTGTTGGCCAAAATTTTGGTAACAATTTTCAGATTAAAGTTACAGAGATTGATCGGGCAGAATTGAGACAGCTTTTCGGGCACACAGACTTTAGGAATGAGAACCAAATTAGTGTGGTTCATTTCTTTAAGCATGTAGCCCCCGTTGAAAAAACTTTTAACCGCATTACAAGTAGCTTCACCCACCACACTCCAATATTGTTGATAGAAAAAACTAGGAAACCCATGTAGGCCTAGTGCCTTAAGAGATCCTAGTTGAAAAGCTGCTGCCTTGATTTCCAAGTTGGAGACATCTCGAGTGAGGGCGTCATTGTCTTCAGAAGAAATAGCCGTATGTGTTCATCAATCTCAGCATCGGTCGACAACCACCGCCCCGTTTCTGTTTGCAACTTCACCAGTTGGTTCCTTTGCCGCCGTTGGGTAAGAGATGTGTGGAAGAAGGCTGAGTTCTTGTGACCAAAATTTAGCTAGCGAATTCTAGACCATTGGTGAAGAAACATTTGTTCCCGAAGTAATGTGCTGTCGATATCATTTTTCTGCTAAGTTTGCTTGGCCATGTTATCCTCCGATGGCGGTTGGCCCTGTACCATAGATAATTGCTACCATAGAGTCGCTAGACGAGTCTTTCCATTTCCGAATTCCTGTTTACTCCACACTTGAAGACCCCACCTGCATACCTTAAGCCGTTGAGTGAGTTGAAACATAGGAGACCTGACTGTTGAACCAACTTGGTTAAAGTCCCCAATACATAACCAAGGGTAATGAATTCCAGCAACCATCACTTCTAAATTCTTCCAAAAGGTTTGCCATTCTTTTCTGGTGTATAGGAGCATAAAGGAAAACCGCAGTCCAATCTCTACCTCCCCAACTAGAGAGAACACATCGAAGAATATGACGGGTTTGAAAGCGGACATCCAACTGCATAGCATCCGTCCACCATAGGGCCAAACCCCCCGATAAGCCTATTGGCTCCACATAAAATTTATTGGGAAAATGAAGACTACGTCTGATTCTTTCCAACTTAGCCTCCTTATTTTTTGTTTCTATTAGAAAAACCACCATGGGACGATGGGTTGTGCATAACCCTTGTAGAATTCGGATTGTCAGGGGACGCCCCAACCCCTGATAGTTCCAGCTGATGATCAGCATGACTCGTATGTCTGTTCAGGGATAGCCACCAAAACCCCTTCATCTTGCTGAAGCTCACCACAAATAGGGAAAGTACTGGCCACTTAAGAGCAGGCATCTAAATCATCCCTATATTGATCTCCCTAGGGACATGCAGCAGAGCCAAGTCACGTTCTATCCCGTCGACACCTTGCACCCGAACATCCAGAAGTTGGTTTTTCCGTGGTTGGCCTACCTTCCTACCAAATTTCTGCCCCTTGACATTATAGGAGACGGACAAGTTCTTGGCAAACTGGCCTGTGGGAGGCGTTGTTGCAAGCTCATGTTTTGAGTTCGAGCATTTCTGAAGTTTAGAAGGTTGGAGGCCATTAGTGGCTTCTTCGGAAGGCTTCCGTTTAAGAGTTAAGTCCATGAAAGCTTGCGAGATGGACACGTCTATAGTTCTGCTTGATGGATCTACCATAGAAGGGCTAATAGGGGATGCGATCTCATCAAGGCCCAAAGACTTCAGCGAAAGGGCCAGGCTTTCATAAGAGTGGGCTTTGGGAGATGGAAGTGAATCTGAAGGCTCAGTAACAAAGTACTGAGGGCCATAACTCGCAGATGGGTTAAGTAAATTGGGGGTCAAGGGTGCATTCAACTAGATTAAAGGCAGTTTGATAGCCCAATGAGCGTGAGGCCCAATAACTGGGTTTGGTTCCCTTAACATTCGTAGCCTAGACAAACCAAAATGGTTTCCTTTAGCTTGAAGTGCTGGCATCGCCAAAAATTCTGGAGTAGTGGTTGTGCTACGCGCACCTTCCCCATCAGGTACACTCACTCTGTTAGACGTACATCCGTGCACAGCCCTACTACTCAGTCGTACAAACACCTCCGAGGCTAGCAGTGCATGCTCTCCCTGTGGTATTGCACGCGTAATCCCCACCCACACGCACCATTGCCTGCTCCCCTGGCACTGTCTGGGTTGTGGCGGTGGTGGAGCCCGAGGTCCAGCTGCAATGAACGATCGTCGAAAAGGCTTAGTCAAAGGCCTCAGACTCCGAGCTACACCGGTGCGCATGTTCGGGCCATATCCCGAGTTGAGACCATGTTTCCGAGAGACAACTTTATAAGCATTCTGGTCATGGCCTATTTTGCCATAATCATAGCAAAACTCAGATAACTTCTCATATTTATAGAGAACTTTGATACTAGCACCACCTAGAACCTTCCATTTTTATTTATGATGGAAAATGAAACCTTACAGCAACGGCTTAGTAACATCAACCTCAATTCGAATCCTCAAAAAGTTACGCTGCAATAGGAGCCTTTCCGTATGGGCCTCCACGTTGATTAATCACACAATACACCGTCCAATGGTTTCGCCGTGCCCACGGGTTAACTTTTCGATCGGCAAACCATGGACTTGAACCCAAAAGAGACACCAACGAAACTCCAACTCTTATGTGACCATTCCAGGTTGGGGAGGTTGGAGAACAAGAAGACTACCTATAACCGACCAGGGAGCATCCTCAAGAACTTTCTGACGATCTGCAAGCTCTTTAAACTAAAAGAGATAAACATTGTCGTTCCAAGACGAGATTCGCACCGGTGTTCAGGTTTTCCATGCACTGGGGATAATATTGAGAACTGCTTGCCTGTTTAAAATTTTGGGAGCTAGGATTTTGGCCACCAAACACCTTCCAGAGACATCCTCGTTCTCATTAGTGCCTTCGAGTAAGTCAAAACTCTCTATCAAAGCAACTAGGAAAAGAGGGCACGAAGTCCAAGAAAAGAATAGAGAATAAAGAGAAAAGGGAAACCTGCAGGAAAATCTCGAGGAACAAACAGACAAAGAAAACTGGGAAAGGCATAAACCCTAGATAGCTACTAGACTAGCAGAGAGGCTCTCATTCTAGAGAGAGAATTTTTGACCGTCTTTTTTTTCACTTCCACACTCTTCCCTTCTTATTAGTCAAACATATTTTTAATTTTTTATTCAAATATTAATTTAAAAACTAAACCAAATACTATCTTAATTTTAATTCTAAAAGCATTTTCAATGTTGTATCTTTTTTTTTTTTAATATCAATCTTTTTTTTTTTTAATATCAAATTTAAGTAAAAACTCTATATGATATTACACGCTCTAATGGAGAATTTTAAACTTTCATCAAAATACCGATCAACTGGGTAGACGACCAGACGAATGTCCGACCGATCGATCGATCAGTGTAATTTTTTCATAAATTTTTGTACAGAGATAGTCATCCTTAGGGACAACCGGTTAGATATCTGGTCGATCGCCCAATAATAAAAATGGCCTGCAATTCCAACGATCATAAATAATGATTTGACGAAAAATATGTTTATCTTTAATTTAATAAAAGATCTTGTTTGGGGTGTACTAATAAGTACAGGCTTTTTATCTTTTTTTTATCACATCACTTCTCTACTTTTCTGTATATTTTTTTATAAAAAATTAAAAAGTACACTTATTTAGATTATTCCAAACCACTAATTTTTATTTGTGAAAGAATTAGAGCAGTAAAAAGAGGCATGTTTCATCAAATAAATTTGATTAAAAAAAAAAAAAAAACAATGGGTTGGGTTGGAGATGCGCCAAGCAGTCCAAATTTATTTCGTGGTCGTTTGTCATTTGGGGAGAGAGAGCAAAACAGACTCTTCACAGAGAGAAAATCTGCACCACAAAACCTCAATACTCTGTTTTCAGCCAAGATTTAAAGATTTAGAGAGAAAAATTGTAACCAATGTTCGTCGTCCAGAGGATGGCTTTATCTTCTCACTCTCTCTTCACTTTCTCTCTCCGTCTCTCAACAAACGCTGCCTCAATTTCACGCTCTTCTTTCTTCCCTCTCCACTCTCCTTCGAAAACCTTATTCTCAATCTCCAGAACAGCTTTTCAGAGACAAATTAGGGTTTTAGCTCTGTATCACAAGAGAAATGGGGTTTCGACATCGTCCGCTGTGGCTACCGAATCGATTGAGACAGCTTCAATCGCCGAAGATAAGGAAGAGATTTCGACCGAGAAGATCGTTCTTCCCACTAACGATTCATCTGAGAGCCTTCTCAGAATTCGCCACACAGTAATTCAGTTTCTCCCCTTATAAATTTGTCAATTCTTTTACTTTTCTTTGTTTAATTTGTATTCGTTTTCTGTTTGGCTGGCCAGAAAATGAGAAAGAAAATCGATACTTTTTGTCTTTTTCGTCATTCCAGTTAGCCTCTGTTTGGGAAGTGGGTTGATTTTTGACTTTTTTGGCTTTTTTTACTATTTTAGCATAGGCTAAAAAGTTTGGTTTGGGAAGGATTTTTTTGATTTTTTTGATTTTGTTGGGTTTTTTTTTTGTTTTTTTTGTGAGAGAAGAATGTAATGATTACGAGCTGAACGTGATATTTTATTTTTTGTGGTTAAAATAGGTTTTTTTTTTTTTTTTTGGCTGAAATAGCCAAAAAAAAAAAAAAAAAAAGCCCCGTTTAGCTCTTGCCAAACGGAGCCTTAATTGGAAGTGTTAGCTCCCAAAGATTTAATTTTTTCCCAATATTTAAAGCCAGAGAATACCCCTGTTCCACCTGTAATATTTAAATGTTAGTTATGTGATTTAATTCATTCTGGTGCCCTATTTGATTGATTACACTATAAACACCGTGAAAATAAATAAAAGGAAACAAAATATAGAACTTTGAAACCTCATAACAAAAAGTTGATTGAATTTGAATTTATTTCCTCTGTAATATGAAGAACTAGAGGAATCATATTATTTAACCCCCCCCCCCCCACCCCCCCCCCCCCCCGCGGGGGGGGGGGAGCCACTCTGGCTTGACCCACCAAACACGAACCCCACTCTCGCTCGAGCCCCCAAAAAAAAAGAAGGGGAATTACAATTCAGTGTAGGTTTTCAAAAAAAAAAAAATTCAAATTAGTGGTAAACTTTATGAACTTTAATAATTAAAGTTATAAACTTTTTCATGAATTTGTAAATATTTTGTGAAGATCCCACTTATTTGTAATTTTCCAAAAAAATAACAAAATATGAAAAGCACACAGTGAGGCTGTTTGTTGCAGCTTCTAAGAGGTGACTGTAGTTTATTTTAATTTGGGAGTCTGTGCTAGACTATTTGGTGCAGCTTTCGCTTATAACTTATTGGACAGGAACAACTTAAATAAGCTAAAAAATGCTAATTATTTGGAAGTTTGGGAAGGGTGTTTTCTGATTATCAGCTTTTAACTTAAAAAAAGCTCTACCAAACAGGGCCACTAGAGGAAGCATTATTGCTACTGTTGTTTTTTTGGAGCTGTTGCCATTGAAGTTATATTTGGACTTGAAATGTCATGTATTGTATATGTCATAATGAATTGGGACGAGACATTTGTTCAATTTTCAATAGAATGGTCAGGACACATTAGCATTGACCCATATTAGGTGCTTTTAGCACTGGATCATGCTATCTTCCCATGTTTATATAAACGTAAGTAAATGTAAATCCATTTGTACATAACCAAAAGAGCATACGAAGACATACATGTTTAACTACTACAATGTTTTTGGACTAAACAATCTCATACATCAATGCAGTGTGCTCATGTAATGGCCATGGCTGTTCAAAGGATCTATCCAGATGCAAAGGTGACCATCGGTCCATGGATAGAATGTGGGTTTTATTACGACTTTGATATGGAGCCCTTGACTGATACAGACCTGAAAAGGATTAAGAAGGAGATGGTGAGCAGACTCAGTTCATGGTTACTAGCATTATCATTTTTAACTAAATGGAAGGTCATGAACTTGGGAGAATATTCATTAGCCTATTATTTCAGGGTACAGAATTTATTTCTTAAATCACCTGTAGGATCGCATTATTGGTCGAAATTTACCACTAATTAGAGAAGAAGTTACCAGAGATGAAGCTGAGAGACGAATAAAGGCTATCAATGAACCTTACAAGATGGAAATATTGGAAAGTATCAAGGAAGGTCCCATCACAATCTATCATATCGGTAAGGCTTGTAAATGCATGCATTCATTTTTGCTTCCAGCTCTTTGTGAAACTAACCATTCTAAGCATTTTATGTTGGGAAATCTATGTTGACAACTTTATTCTTTAGTTCTTGCTATTTGGAAAACTAATCACATTTAAAAATGTTTTTTTCACTGTTCGATTTTATTCCCAGTGATGTGGTTGCCAACTTGTTACATATTTTGTGAATTTATGCTTGTTAATTAATTAGAAAATAATTTTTTAAGGTTTATCTAAATTAGCGTGCTGTGATACCTACTATGGTGTGTGGGGTGGGCCACGAGATCCTCAATTGCAATGCAAACTGTATCTTATTATTAATGAATGGAAACCATAAAGGGTGAGAGTATCTTGTGCGCTGAGGATTCTGTACAGCTGTTTTTAGGGGTTTTGAAATGGGATTCTGTCTTTCTTGAGTTGATTTGAATTTGAGTCTTGTCTCTTGACACATTTGGTTGCAATACCAACTCATACGTCCATGTAATTTAGTGTAACAAGGTGAAGTTGTCTCATGCCTTGTGCAATGCAGTTGAAATCCCACTTGAAGATGAATGGTGCCTATGGCCTTAGTTTGAGCCCTTGACTGTAATATGAAATGTTCTTTTCATTCTAATGATGAAATTTCAGCATGCATTTTGCCAAAGGTTTCTGAGTTCTGTGCAACATGCTTAGCTTCCTTATTGGAATAGAATCACTTTGTTAGTTATTTGAGAGCCAAGACAATCATATTGAGTGAAGTTTGTGTAGATAGCTGTGTAGATGAAAGAAGAAGGGATTTCTTGAGGTAGACAATTGGACTTTGTAAAAAATAACTGATGTATTATTATTGATTGATATCTGATGTATTATTATTAATTGTTGATATATTTACAATTCCTATATATAGAAGAAAATGTGGTAGTAGGTGTAGGAGTGAAGTGGAGGTGGTAGGTGGAGTGTGTGATAGTGGAGGTGGTAGGTGTGGAGTGTGTGATAGTGGAGGTGGTAGGTGTGGAGTGTGTGATAGTGTCTTGAGGTAGACAATTGGACTTGCTCTCCAGTTGCTGCCTTTGAAATTGCGCTTTTATTTGAGAATCTGGAAAAAAACAAAAAATTGTCCACTGTAAGGATAAATTGGGAAGATTGTTCTTGCTTATACTAGGTACATATTTTCGCCTCTGTGTCTTTTGCCTTTTCTTGTAACTAGCTCTATTCCTTAACCTCTTAATAGACTTTTCTTATTTTTCTGATTTGGTGGTATTAATACATTAAGGTGGAACATTCTACATTTTAATGTTAGTGATTTGGAAGTTGGGTATTACTATTACGGTATTACCACATAAAAGTAGTTAGAAGGTGTTAGACACTGTTTTGGATTATCACATGGAAGGATTGGTAATTGATAAGCATAAAAAGGAAGCATGGGATGTGGTATTGACTGTTGGCTATGTGAAGAAATCACATGGTTATTTGTTAGTCCAGAAGAAGGAAAAGCACCTTGTTTCTTGATGAAACACTGTAGATATAACTTTTCTTTAGTGATCTACTGGCGTGCTTAAGGTAAGTAGAAAGAAACATGTAACTTAATTTAGTAAATTAGTGTGTTCTTGTGTGAATAATTTGAAGTCTCATGCAGTAAGGTTGAACCATCTGCAAATGTTTGTCATGCTTGCTCTACTCTCTACCCTATTCTATATCCTTTCCAGGTAATGAATGGTGGGACCTTTGTGCTGGGCCCCATGTTGAGTCTACTGGAAAAATTGACAGGAAAGCTGTTGAACTTGAATCTGTTGCTGGTGCCTACTGGAGAGGAGACACAGATAAACCAATGCTCCAAAGGATTTATGGCACAGCATGGGAGAATGATAAACAACTGAAAGCGTACCTTCATTTTAAAAAGGAGGCTAAAAAACGGGATCACAGGCGCCTCGGCCAAGATCTTGATCTGTTCTCCATACAGGTAGATCTCATTTGCAATTGCAACGAAACTATGTTGTGCTACTTTCTACTGCCTATTAATGGCTTAGAGTTGCCAAGATCTTGATCTGTTCTCCATACAGGTAGATCTCATTTGCAATTGCAATGAAACTATGTTGTGCTACTTTCTACTGCCTATTAATGGCTTAGAGTTGCTAATTTGTTATTATTTATTTCGAAAGTTACTCATTGCTATTCATTTGCAAAGACAAATTTGCAGTTGAAACTCAACCTTCTGTGACAAATTTGTAGGATGAAGCTGGTGGAGGTTTGGTGTTCTGGCATCCAAAGGGGGCAATTGTGAGGCACATTATAGAAGGCTTCTGGAAAAAAATTCACATGGTACGTGGTTATGATCTGTTGTATACACCGCATGTAGCAAAGGCAGATCTTTGGAAAATCAGTGGTCATCTGGACTTCTACAAAGAGAACATGTATGATCAGATGAAGATTGAGGAAGAACTTTACCAGCTGCGACCAATGAACTGCCCTTACCATATTTTGGTTTACAAAAGGAAGCTTCACTCTTATAGGGATTTTCCAATAAGGGTTGCGGAGCTGGGAACTGTATATAGATATGAATTATCTGGAAGCTTACATGGCCTTTTCCGTGTAAGAGGTTTCACTCAGGTACATTTTCATTTCTTAGATTTATATCTGGAAACTTTTAGTTGGTATTTGTTTGTTTTGGTAATTGTCAAAGTTGATTTGAGACATCAAATTATGTCATGTTTCATGGACACTTCAGATAAAATACTAGTTTCAGATCTGTGGTCTGTGTTCTCGAATCTTTTATATCATCAAGATTAGACATCTAGGTTGCTTGTTGAGTAGATTTTGAAGTACATTAAACCACCTGCTGATTGTATCATTGGGGGGCACATTTACTTAGGATTACACCCATCTGGGTTGGCCGATGCTTGGTCAAGTCGAGGCTTATATTTTTATGACTCTAGTCAGCGTCTTTGACAGACACAGTGTTGAAGCCCTATGCTACCACGTCAAGACAGTAGCGCTGGCAGATGCATGGCTAACTTTGTTGGTGATGGGCTGTGGGCATCAACATGTTTTCATAGTGTGGCATCATTAATAAGCACATTGTAAATCATGGTATTTGCAATATCTATAATTTCACTTTCTATTGATTTTGCAGGATGATGCACACATATTTTGTTTAGATGATCAAATCAAAGATGAGATCAGGGGTGTCCTAGATCTCACAGAAGAAATATTACTGCAATTTGGTTTTAGCAAGTATGAAGTGAACCTTTCAACGAGGCCAGAAAAAGCTGTGGGAGGTGATGATATATGGGAAAAAACAACATTTGCCCTTAAAGATGCATTAGATGATAAAGGGTGGAGCTATCAGGTTGATGAAGGTGGTGGTGCCTTTTATGGTCCAAAGATTGATCTCAAGATTGAGGATGCTCTTGGAAGGAAGTGGCAATGCTCAACCATACAGGCAAGTCCAGAACTTATGATTGGCTAATAATTTGTTTGGGGGTATTTACAGCACAAGTATGTCGTCACAGTCATGTTGTTTTCTCTCACATGTTCTCTTCGGTCTTTACTGGTGGTGAAACACTGATCTTCTAATGGAAAAATATTTTTCTTTTTCCATGTGGACAGGTTGATTTTAATTTACCGCAGCGTTTTGACATTACATATGTTGATTCAAACTCAGAGAAGAAGAGGCCTATCATGATTCACAGAGCAGTTCTTGGATCCTTGGAGCGGTTCTTTGGAGTCCTCATAGAGCATTATGCTGGAGATTTTCCATTGTGGCTATGTCCAATCCAAGCTCGAGTTTTACCAGTCACTGACACACAGGTATCTTCAATTTCATAGGCTTGCAATTTAGTCTGTTCCATAAAATTGAGATTCCATTTGATATGAATGAAAATCTAATCTAATAAAAAGAACCCTCTGACATCTGTGATGCTTTTTCAATACTGTTTGTGATGCATCATAATAGAAGCTTGCACAGTACCCTATTGCAGACATCTCTTTATTTTTTATTTATTTACATTTATATTTTGATTTGACCTTTTGTACCCAAAAAAAAAAACTTTAACCTTTTATACATGTTTATTCAATTTTATTCTGATTTACATTTCAACTTTATAGTTGTACCTAGTGCACATGGTTCCCGACCCCGTATTGTTTTATGCATACATACACGACATACAACAGGTGCATGATTGTGTGTTTTTGACATAAAAATACACATAAAACCCTTACCTACTGCTAAATTGGCAAGATAGTCAATTGTTTGTTATTGAGTGTAAGATAAATTGATAGAAAGAGAATAAATTGTATGTATTATTGATTGATATAATGTTATATATATTACAATGATTCATGATTCCTATATATAGAAGAGGGTGAGTGTGTAGTAGGTAAGGAGTAGGTGAAGTGGAGGTGGTAGTGGTGTAGTGGGTTAGGTTTAGTGGAGTAGGTGAGGTGGTAGTGGTGTAGTGGGTTAGGTTAAGTGGAGTAGGTTTAAGTGGGTGAAGTAGGTGATAGGTTTTAACATTGAGAGTACAATACTAATCTTCATATATGACAAGGGGCATTGTGTGGTCAAATGGTAGATGATCATGCTGCTAAGTGTGAAAATGTAGGTTTGAGCATGAGAGCAACTACTTCATGCAAAATAATGCCAAAGGTAAGTCTCTCTCTAATCTCACCTCTCTCAGCACCCTTGATTAAAGGGAACCAGCACTGGTATTTTTTTTAAAACCGAAATTGAAAAGAATGTGTGATATATGCTTATGGAGGCTACAGTGGATAGTCTCCACCATGCCAATAGATTGTGCATATGCTCACATGACATGAGATTGCTTCAGTTGTGCATGTCATACTCCCTGTAGGATTTGTGCCATAATAGTTGAGAGGAGTGACCAATTGTGTTTATATGTTTTCAGCTCGAGTACTGCAATCAAGTGACAAGCAAACTGAAAGCAAGTGGTATTCGGGCAGAAGTTTGCAGTGGTGAGCGCCTGCCAAAGCTCATTCGAAATGCAGAGAAGCAGAAAATCCCATTGATGGCTGTTGTGGGGCCCAAGGAGGTCGAGACACAAACACTTACAATTCGATCTAGGTTTGGTGGAGAGCTGGGGACCATGACAATTGATGATTTTATTAGCAGAACCAAGAATGCCACTGAAAACAGAACAACATTTTGAAATGCTAGTAGTCGACGATTCTTGGATGTCCTGCGACCCCAACAGCATTATTGATTACAATTGTTTCATGTATACGAGGATTGAGGATTAAATCAGATACGCCATAATTAAAACAATTTTGTTCTTGAATTTTTGAAATCAGATATACCATAATTGCAATTATTTTGTTCCTGAGTTGTTTTGGAAAGTGGTTAAGGCAACCTGAGAACTTGAACTTGCAGTTTGTGTCATTTATCAATTTTGTGAACTATGAGGGGCTTTTATAAACTGCTTGATGTAGATGTTTCCTTACAGGGTGCGATGCACGGGTTCGAATTTTACTGAAAAGTAATGTAGCTTCTCTTTCTTCTATTTTCTTATTTCTGGTTGTTATATATATATATATATATATATTTATGTAGCAGTGACATAGTGCATGAGGCTTCCTACAGTGGAGTCCGAGAGGGCAAGATATCTGCATCTGGAAATTGAAAAGCCTATGCCCCCAATTCGAGTCTAAGAGAGCCTATCATTACATGCCCGATTAGAAAAGGTCTGACTTTTAACACAACCATGAAGACTGTAAAGTCTATACTTCTTGAACGAGTGATGCTAAATCCATTAACTGGATTGTCATAAATTCAAAAAATTTAAGCACAAACATAATGATTTATCACATGGCTTTTCCAAACGGGGTGTGAATTGAGGCTTAATCAGTGTGAACATGCGATACATTTTGTGCTATTTGTAGTAGACTCAAAACTTACACTGAACAAATAAAATAAAATAAAAAATAAATTTTGAAGAGTTTTTGCTTGTGCATGTGCACTGCCAGGTGCAAAAAAGCTCCCCATGAGAATGTATCTTAATCAATGATTTTTTGACCCTAAATAATATATAGAGAAAAATCTGAACTGCAAATCAAAGTTGAACATTTTGGGCAAACTGTTGTGAGGATGCACTCCTTACCCCTAAAGAGTCCGGATCCTCGGCCGCAAACATTTTGGGCAAGAGTGCATCCTCACATTTTGGGCAAACAAGTTTGCCCTATATATATATTCATTTTCTTTCATTTCTCTAAACCTGCCAAAACACGGAAAAAAGGGAGAAAAAAAGGGCAAAAAAAAAAAAAAAACTTTATAGCTTGTACTTCATTTTTATTCTTATTTTTCCTGTTCTTTTTTATGTCCTTAAAAAATTCAAGATCAAAACATAACTTGTTTATATTTTTGCTATGAAATAGGTTATGTACCCAGAATTTGTATCCCAAAACTTATCCTAAAAGTGAAATGTATAGCGTAAATTATAGACATTGTGTTGCGGGCCACTCTTATAGAATGAATGTAGCCTGTTGATATAATTTTTAAGTGTTTTTTTTTTTTCTCTCCTAGATATATAGTATTGTTATTTTCCTATCTATCTTCTTACTTAATGTAACAAAGTTAAAGTAGTGTGTGTTTATACATGGGTATAATGAGTTCTTTGAAAGAGGCATGTGCATCAAAGGATCCAAGCACAATTGTGATATCACAAGGGACATATATGGTTGGTCCAGTGAAGTTTCAAGGACCTTGCAAGGCTCACAGTACCATTGATGATCAAGGAACTTGGAAAGCTCCTAAAGACCTCGATAAAATCAAGTCACAAGATGGTTGGATTATGAGAGGGTGGTTTGCGCCGTGCAAATGGGCCAAGCTAAGTTTGCGTGGATCTTGGATTTGAGCCGTGCAAATGAGCCGGGTTGAGTTTGTGTGCAAAGTGAGCCAAGCGAAGTTTGTATGGGCCTTGTGTTTGTGCCGTGCAACAAGCCAAGCTAGATGGACTTTGTCTAGCTCTGTATGTCATTCTAGGTTGATGTGGCTTTGGGACCGAGCTAGTTTTGGGAAGACCGGACAATGGTTGACAGTTTATGATAGCAGAGTTGATCACATAACTGAGCCAAAAAACCGAGCAAGGTCTTGTAGCTAGCACGACATAACGTGTTGCTCGACAGTCTTAAATGCAAGAATTCAATACGGCTACTCGGTCCTTGACTAACCAGGATAGCACTTAGCTCGATGACCGAGCTAGGAGTGGTGTTATTTTACTCGCACTTTGGAGGTAAGGGTGTTAAAGAATAGGAATTATCCTTTAAGAGATAGACTCCTGATGGGACTCTACGAAGAGGATTTAGAGTCCTGCTACAAGTCTACCTTGCGGAATATATAAAAGATTAGAGGTAAACCTTAAAAAGGTAATGCAACTGTACACACCGAATTTCTAGAGAGCTTTTTCTATATTGATCTTAAGGGCAAATCGGAGGGATTTTCCTGCACACACCTGTTGGTTAGCTCGCCTGAGTTGTTTTGCAGGCTATACGACACCGTTCAAGGTAAATAAGCTTGATCATGAGGAGTACACGTGCGACGAATATTTTGTGCCCGTACAAATTATTTTTCAAAACATTGATGGCTTGGCACTCTCAGGTGGAACTTTTGATGGCCAAGGAGAAATTGCTTGGAAAGAAAATAATTGTGCCCAAACAGGAAAATGCAATTCACTACCCACTGTAAGACCTTTTGTTTCTAATATTTTGTAGCTTCAACCATATAGTAATTAGTGCGAGTAAAGGGTTGTTTTTGGTTGTGTTTTTGTTTTCTTACTTTCATTTTTCATCAAAAATATAAATAATGAAAAGATCAAAAAAATAAAATAAAAAATGAAGTCGTTTTTTATTTTATATGTGAAAACAATTTTCAAAAATTAACTTTCTTGGACTACCCCAATGTGTGCTCATTAATCTCAATGTATATGTAAATATACTGACAATACAAAAAAGATCAGACCCAAAAATTGCATATCCAAATATTGTAGCTTAAAGGGGGGTGACAAATGCTTTTTATTTATTTATTTAAGAATTAAAAAAAAATGCGTTTGTTAATTAAAAAATTTACTCTTTTTTTTAATGAGATAGTTTGTGAGTCTTTTCAAACTTTTGCATTTTTGTGAGAAAATGCTATATTACCCTTACGGTGTTATGTAGTCCTTGTTAACATAACCAATTGTCGGTAAAATTGTTTTTGTTCAATTTTGCTTAGATTATCAAAACAATTGATTTTTTTATGCGAAGTTAGTTATTTAGCCAACAGAAGTGTTTGGGACAGTAAGGCGCATATACTATATGTACTTACGTAAATTTTCACAAATATATATAAGCTATCTCATAAAATAGTGTAAGTTCTCACAAATATACGTAAATTATGATTTTTAAAATTTTTATGGATTAATTTACGTATTGCCATTAGCCAAACCATACAACTTGTTATTTTTAGATTTTTAGCCAAAAAGTGGTAGCCAAACAAATCCCAATAGTTATGGAAGTTTGATTTTGTTTTCATTTTCTCAATTTCGTTTTTTTCAAAAATAAAAACAATAAAAAGTTCAAAAACATAAATTTCTTTTCATATCGTTTCATTTTCGCAGTTAAAAAATAACCTTTTGTGAAATACTAATGACCGCTATGATGTTTGTGTGTAAACTTTTCACTGAAAAAGTAAAGAAATGTGTAACAAATATAAATATATAAATTTATTAAATTGTTCTGAGCATATGTTAAAAGTGTATTAGAATTTAAAATTCAAAAGTGTATCAAATTTTCCTATATTCGTCTCTCCAAACAGAACATCCGATTCAACTCGGTCACAAGAGCAATAATTCAGGACATAACTTCATTAAACAGCAAGTTCATTCACATGATTCTAAGCTGCAAGAACATGACACTTCAAGACATCACCATAAATGTGCCGGAGACGAGCCTAAACACTGATGGAATCCACATTGGGCGTTCCAGCAGGATCAACATCACGGGCACATGTTGGGATCGGAGATCCCGCCTAAGACCTTATAGAAATCATACCAAGTAGAACAACACACTCTCATAGAAGGAGACACCATATTTAACGTGGTTCGGTATCAAAGCCTACGTCCACGGGAGAGTAACCGGTTATCACTATACCATTGGAGAGATTACAGTAGAGGAGGAGCTCACACTCTCCTCACTCAGCCACTCTCCCATCTCCCTCGCTCACACCGAGAGAGACGGTCTCTCCGCCTCACATCTCTCACTCTCTTTGGTTTGCTCGGTTTGCTCCATCTCTCTCTGCTCTCTCTTCCTCTATTTATACACTGAGAATGGTAGAGAGCTGGCTGGCCTTGCACATGGCTAGCTGTTCCTTCACTTTTGGTGGCCGTCCACCTTTGCGGCTTGTCTTTGCGGCTTGTCGGTTGGCAGCCGCATTCCTTGACATGGTGTGCTGTGTTTTCACATGTGAAGAGAATCACCCCTCACATGGGGTGATATCAACAAATCACCCCCTCAACCCATGTGAGGTGATCTAGTGCACACATTGCTGCTAATCTTGTTACGCTCAAATTTTAGCATAGTCTGCATCTCTTCACTGAGACGCTGCATCCCCTGAAGTTAGAGATAATACACCAAAGATACAAGAGGAGGAGGGAATCCTACATCCTCAACTCAACTCACACCACTCTCTGATTTGGAGAGAGCCTCTGCTCCTATCTCCCACAGATCTCTTCCACGCTTCCTGTCTCGGATGTTTTCACCTGCTATGCTTGAACTTGCGTAACCAAGATATCCGACACCCTCTAATTGGATGTCCTGCACCTCCTACTGAGATGCCCTTGACTATCATGTCTTATCTCGCAGGACCAGTCATTGGAGCAATAGAAAACTCGTTGTTTATCCCATCAACGTCCTTGGTCTTCTTTGCTCAGAGTTTTTCCTCTGAACTATCAGCCTTTGCCCTCTGCACTTCTGAACAACCTCCTAGCGTTTCCACATATGCTCGTTGTCTGTGCCTTTACAATCCCTGATTTGCTATCCAGTAGATTGATGGTTGACAGTAGCTTCATCTGTTAAAGCATCGTCAGCTATGCAATTTTGCATAGTGCTCGCACACATGGCTTCTGGTCTCCCTGCGTCGAGCTTGTTTGAGAGATCCGCATCAACTCTATCCTTCGCTGCCATGGAACTAAAGAAACCACCATAGAGAAAAAGACTTGCCACTCCTTGGCGCACACTCTTGCGTTTTACCCGTCTCAATTTCTCTGTCTGGAAGTTCCTGTGAACTTTCAACAACCCATTGCTACACACTTTTCTCGCGCCTCTGTACGACACTCTAGCGTACCCTTGCATTGTTGCACGTCTGCATTTGTGCTTCTGCGCTTAGTATGCTCCTCTACAACTATTGTTCTACACATCCACATTTCATCAGTACCTACTCGTATACAGTAGCTTCAACAGCCACAGCATT